CAAGTCACTGCCACGATAGATTGGATCAGCGAAGAGAAGGTCGTAATTTCCCTCTTTCAACTTCTTCATGACGACTTCTGATTTCACCACACCGTCCAAATACTGGATAGAAAACTGCATTTGAGTCTTGATTATTTCACTGAATCTGATGTAGATCTCCCAGTAGCTCATATAATCAATTTCGTGCATGGAGAATCGAAGGAATTCTTCTAAAAAATCTTGCAGGGCATCTTTTGAGAAAGAGACGTTGAAGGGCTCGTAGCGAAAGCGGGATGGCTCATTGGTGTTCATGTATAATGACGAGCTCGGGACCAGTACAGTCACCTGGTGTCCCCTGTCAACCAGCGTCTCCAGAACAGGCTTCATGTTTATCCAGTGGCTGCCATCAGTGTACCACACCAAAATATTCCCTCCGTTTGCACTCCATGTCGCACAAAGTACCAGCAGGATGCCGGCAGAGAGACGCAGATCCATGGTGTCTGAATGTCAGCAGGAAAACCAGCTGTGGTCTGATCCTTTTTTAAAAGTATATAAGAAAAGATGATTATTAAAAAAATAAATCTGAACTCTGACTCACTTCTTTTTTATGAACCATGTCTTATTTCACCGTGCGTTAAAACGTAATAACCGTAAATTCGACAGTGCTGGAAAAAATAAAACAAATAAATAGGAGAAATACACTAGGAAATGAAAAAGGTTTTCAGAGCACCAGTTTGTGGTTGTTAGTATAGTAGAGGTAGAGTGAATTGGAAATTTCAGTGGAAATTTCAGTTATATAGGCTTATACATAACTCCCACAACTTATGTGGAACTTGAGTTAGTAATATGATTATTCATACCTCTGATCGCTTCCCTTTTTAAAAAAGCCTCCTGCGTCACATAAAGTCTCTGCACGGCCTTCTTCACTACTTACTGCTACATCTACGATGTAAATCTGGATTATGGAAGCTAGAGTTTTATATCTGACCTAGGAAAATGTTGCATCGGTGCATCCCTAGCTTAAAACTAGTGGTTAGTTCCAGCATCTCTGCAAGTTTGTGTGTTCTTTGTCTTTGTTATTTTTGTCTGGCATGTTAGGTGGTTTAGTGACTCCAAATTGACCCCATCATTGCCTGTGACCTGTCCAGGTTACATCCTGCCACTCTCCAAACGTCAGTTGGGGGACGGTCCAGGCTACCAACACAACAAGTAGTTAAGAAAATAGGTAAAGCTTTAGCTCTCCAAGAACTAACTCAGATCCTTATATTATTATGTTTGAGTTTCAACTGGTTTTTGACCAAATACTTTCTGATCTGACAATATTCACTTGTGCCTCCAGTCCATATTTGGATAAGAGGCACGTGTGCATGTCAACATGATACACTACGACGATGAATTTTATACCATTAGCACTTAGCTGAAAGTACTACAGTGTATAACTACACGTCTCCCAACATTTTAAAGACTCGCAGTAGAAAGATATCCAGGAGCAGAAAGAGGCAGCTGATTTCAGAAACCTGCTGAGGCCAGAAGGGTCGCAAGAGTTGTCAGCCACGCCTTCAGGAATCGTTGTTGTTCTTGGGAAACGTCACCGCTGACTGTTTGGGCGTGTAAATCTTAACTCTGGGTACTTTGTCCCCCTCATTAACATTGTAGATTCCTTTTGACGCTGGATTCAGGAGCGTCTGGAAAAACAATAAGCATTTGAATATTGGATTCAATGCCCTGCTGAGGCAGTCACTGGCCATTCAGTGTGCGAGTGTGTACTGTTTTCAACCTTAGACCTCCCCTGGTGTTGCAGTGGATGTGTGAGAGTGAGTGATCAATGAGTGATTAACCAGCAGAATCACTGAGCCCCTAACTGTGCTTTCGCCTTCATATTTAATTTTCTCTGGAACTCAACAATCTACCATTTCCTGTTTGCATTCCTACTGCTTCCACTTCTTCCTTCCTTGCTCTGTCTTCCCACCACAGGGTAAGGGGTTACAGCGCAATGCTTTTTGAAGTAGACATTTGCATAATCAGATTAGGATGTGTGATTGTCAGTGGGCTCCCCCATCAGAGGGTGCTCCAGAGGAGAGAGGGTGCTGTCCAGCCCAACAATGGAAGACTCCCCTCCTCTCACTATCCAACCAGCCCTGCACCTGCATCCCACCCAGCCACCCACCCGTGCTGCAGGTCGGCAGCTTCGCAATTCTATGCTTGGACTCGGAAGGGTAAGAGAGAGAGCGAGAGGAAGGTGCAGGGGGAGGAGGAGGGGTTCGAGTGCGTGATGGGAGTGGGAGGGCAGGGGTTGAGCTGAGATATTTAAACATGCAGAGTGTGAATTGGCTTTAAGGGGATAAAGAGCTCAGGGCCTATCGGTTGGCACCCAACTCCAGAAATTCTTTTTCATGGGCGCCTCAGCCGAGAGAGCGAGGGGCTGCCTGCACTGATCTGGCCCATTGTGATAACGGATTCAGACAGTGTGCTAGACGCTGATAAGGAAATGTGCTCTCAATAGACGATTGCCCACATACTTGGGAGAGAATAGTCAATCAGGCAAATATACTTGGTGGAGGGAATGAGAAGCGTACAGATTTGTTATTATTTCTCAGTGCATGGTTTCATAATCCTTGTGGAAAGTTGAGGTCAGAGTTATGCTCACACTGCTTAGACGTTTTCTGTAAATAAGGTGGTTCAACAAAATGCTTTTTCACAGCCTTACAGCCTGTACGGAAAAGGCTTCACACGCCTTCCTCCAGTGTCAGATGACTGAATTATGAAACATCATGATGACTTTCACCAAAAAGTTCAGTCCCCTGTTATTTTAATCTTTTTGCATTTTACCAGAAAGTTGCTCAATTTTCTGTTAAATTGCTCAAGCAGTAAACACTTCCTAAATTCATGTTATGGATGAGCCATACTGCTTGGTTGAAATATTTGTCATTCTGCCTCTACCATAGAATTCATTTAGTATTACTGCAGCATCACAAAGAGTCACCTGTCACTTCCCACAGGCCTGCAGTCACTGTGTCCAGCTGCCCTCTGCTCCGTTTACACACCAATAGCCGGAGTTTAACAGCCGGGGTGAAAGCGCTTAAAACCGACTCAGTGTTTACTCTGCAGCTCAGTTAGTTGCTGCCTCTTGCCTGAAAACGGGGCCCATTTTCTGTAGTCACAATAGGCGATTAGACATGTAAATGTCTGACCTCAGTTTAACCGGCTGCCAAACAAGAAGACTGTTGATATTGTAGCTAGAGGTGAAAGAAATAATCCATTAATAGGTTTGCTGACTGAAAATTGATCCGCAGCTATTCTGATAATTAAAAAAAGGCCTAATTATTTATTGGCAGCAGTAAAAAAAATAAGGGCTGCTAAATACCTTATGAAGCAACAGAGTGATGCTATCCTTTAAAAAATAAGAGAGAGAGCAAGAGCGGCATTTGCACTCTGGTCATCTCGACAGTGTTTGACTCCTGAGCGACCTCTGACCTCAGGGGTTGCAAGTTAAGCGGTCACATTGAGCACTCATCCCTCAGGCCTCTGGTCAGTAGACAGAGAGCAGAGGTCAGTTTTGTGTCCACACGGTCATCACGGGCGCTGCTGAAAGCAAATGTCTCTGGGCTTACTGAGCAAGAACAAAGAGCAGCAGATTTGCTCTTAATTTCCCATCAGCTGTGTTTCTGACATAGCGTGAAACAACTTAACTATTCCACTCCACATGTCACTATTTACTGTGCGTTGTATGAGTTTGTTCCATTCACAGCAACTCTGAAAAGGCAACTTATATTGTAAAAACCTGTCTATCTATCTATATGAAATTATATATAGTATATTTATTGGTTATTGTTAATTATAGGTTATTTTTGGGTTTTTTGAGTGTCTGGGTGTCTATTTTTTATGTTTTTTTTTGTTTTTTTTTTACCTCAACCCACAAATTTACCTTTTTGTAGGAGTGTCCACTTTCCTGCTTCCTCTACCAGTTTAGAATAGTGATTACCAAGCAGGGTTACAAATGTCCCAGAGATTACTTAATATTAGCATGACTAAAACAAAAAAAGGAAACAAAATGTAAAAACAAAAATCACTGATAGCTAAAAGAAGTGCATAAATCATTTAAACACGGAGGGTGGATGGGTGAAACAACTAGCTTTGAAAATAAAACTGTTGGATAAAAAAAAAAGCTTTGTTTGAAATGGCAAAGTAAATTCGTTAAAACATGGAGTTTATGATCTAAAAGTATGCAATTAAATTTTTGGTTAGCTGCATTGATACACACCTGGGGAAAGATGGGTAGAAGTGTGGATATGTCTGTGAAGGTTCTCAGTCATCCAGGTCATCGTAGTCAAAGGAGCTTGCAAAGAAAAGCGTCTGGACTTCTTTAAGTTACTTGAAGACGTTTCACCTCTCATCCGAGAGGCTTCGTCAGTTCTAAGGTCAAATGGTGGAAAGTCCCAGATATAAACCTGGTGGGAGTGTCCCCCCACAGAGGGACAAAAGGACCCCCTGATGATCCTCTAATCGCCTGAGCCAAGGTGTGGAACTGGGTGTGGGTCCCAATCAGCCAGAGTTTCGGGTGAGTTCATTGTGAAACCTGGCCCCACCTTATCATGCGAATTCCTGAGGTCAGATGGCCCAGGGTGTGAGTGGGCCTTAAGGCATCTGGGAAGGGATCTCAAGTGTGGATAATCTTTGTAACTCCTCTGAGCAGTTCATTTGTTTCATTATCTGAATAAACTTTAATTTCAGTGGTCACACAGACGACGCTACAATTTAAAAACTACTTTTCAACCAGGATTGTTGCTTTTACTGAACTATCCTGAAAGATTCGATTTCATATCAGCACCTGGAGTAAATGTCAGACTGAAACTATAGTCCAGATCCCCTTTTCTATAATAGGTTAAAATGTCTATGTGATTCAATATTTGCTTACTGGGGGCTTTGAAACACTTTAGTGAAACAATTACTCATACTTAACAATTCAGAAGGTAACAAATCATTTATTAAATAAATAGTTCAAATAAATAACATACCTTATATTCACAAACAAACAAAAATAACTTACAAAAGAGGTATCAGAAGATCATCGGCACACTCTTAACAGGAGACAATCAACTTATTATTATTATTATTATCATCTTTGGCTATATGACATGCGTATTGTACAAAAAATCACCAAGTGAAAACACAGCGAAGAGATTTGTGTACAATTACTGAAAGAAGATTGTCAGTTTTGCCAAAATCCAACCTGACTAGTAACAAATACTGACGCTGTTGTGTGAAAGGGATGAGAAAGGGGGGGGGGAGGCTTTCTTAGGATTGATTTTTGTGAAGTAGTATAACCTTGATAATTGAAAAGAAAGGTCACATGTAGTCTTCTCTCGGAGGACGGGGGTAGCATGTCGACTAGTGGGGAAAAAGTGCCCTTGGTTATTTTGAGATTATTTGCAGTCTTGGCTGAACCATTATCTATTCAAATTCCTTATTCAATCTTTTGCTCGGAATGAGAAATTCCTTAATCCCTTCCATTTTTCCTCGTTGGCAAAACACCCCGATACTGCAAAACTAAATTAGTTCAAGGCGTGCCGGCAACAAGGAATATTAACATAAAGACACGAGAGGAATAGTACATCCAGGTTTTTACACACCCATGCAGAACACAAATCAATTTCACCTGCAAATTATATTTCATAACTTCAACACAGAGACGGTGCTCACTTTTCAGCCACGTTTGACTATCACACACTCTGCCCTGAAGGCAGACACACAACAGTCTTTACAGAGGACCAGATCAGAGCAGAAACCCCGGGAAGAAAGAAAGGGTCCAAAAGTTCACTCCAGAGTTGCTTCTGTTAGATGAGCTGCGGCTCTACCAGGCCTCAGAGCTGTCACAGCTGGATCCGGGCGACGGAGCCTCCGTGTCACTGGTCAGGGCCCAGGGGTGAGGAGGGGAGTGCAGCTGCTCCATGTTGCCTCTGAGAAAGGTGAGCAGGGCGGTGGGGGAGTGGCCGGCCGGCTGGCCGCTCTGACTCTCCAGCAGCTGGACTAGGAAGTTGATGTAGCGCATGGCCAGGCGCAGGATCTCGTTCTTGCTCAGCTTCTTCTCCGGAGGATGGGTGGGGATGAGCTTGCGGAGCTCTGCAAAGGCAGTGTTGACGTTGTGCTGGCGCCAGCGCTCCCTCGTGTTGGTGAACACCTTTCTGGTCATGGTGCTGAGCTCAGCTGCAACAAGTGACACAACGTTAGGCCACTTAATTCAAGACACGAGAGTAATTTGTGGTTATTTTGAGTTTTTGATTCCAAACTCAATGCAAAACAGAAAAAATGGATATAAAAGCTTTAAAATAAATAAAGAAATCATCAGCGCTGGGGAGTGATAGGAGGAAGGTGGAGGCACCAGGAGCATGGTGAAATTTGCAAACTGTTTTAAACCCCACAAAAGCATTTATCATAATTGATTCATTTGCTACCTATTTCTGCAATATGCAGCTTTTGTGTTTTTCTTCATATTTAAAGGCATATTCAGGAGTTTTTTTGGCTTGCACAAGTGACACATCAAGTTCTTCTGCAGTGTTTACCATTTGCAAGTGATGAAGCTTTTAAATCATTAACAGATGGTATTTTAAGCTACGTTAGAATCTATTTATTAAACTTCTTTTGCACTTAATATTTTGATAACAAATATCTGCAGCTATCAACTATAAATTACAGCACATTAAATATCTACTATGCTACTATAAGTGGAAACATTGCCTCAGAGGAGGGAAAATCCTGGAGAATGAAGTAAATGTCTCACCTGTACCTGTGTGTGGGAAATGTGCAGAAATCTCAGAGGCAGAGGTTCCTTTGTCATCGACGTGTCCTGGAGACCAGTGTGAAGGTCCACTTAGACGCGTCTCCTCATGCTCACTGAGCTCCTAGTGAGGAGAGGGGAGAGCCAGAGAGAAGGAGGGAGGGATGAGAGTGCCGAGTGCTCGCATCCCACATTTTTATAGCAGCGCAAGCTCCATTGTCTGACGTGTGCTGTCGTGGAGCCGCTGCGTGCATTGTGTGAGGTTGGTGTGATTGTTAAAACACGTAACTCCTCCTTTTTCTGTCACTTGGAACAAGTGTGTGTGTGTTTATGATGCTGCTGTGTTTAAATGATTTGTCTTTTTTTGTGGGGGCCTTTCTGCAGCTTTTATGATTTAACAGCTCTTTAAATGACTATTTGTGCTGCTTTTATGATTCATTGCTCATTTAATCCTTGAAGGTTAGCGCTAAAGGTGACAAATAAATTCCTATTGAAGTGAAACTGAGACGTTCATCTCTCTGATCCTTCTCTTACTGCTGTGGACACTTATTCCTTTCTGCTTCTCTGACATTAGGCATGGACAACCCACCGTCCCCTCCACCGAGGAAAAGACCTTGATATCAGTGGCTGCTCTGCTTTGAATCCGGCCTGATTGGGCCACAAAAGGTAAAAATACCATATCCAGATTGACAGTCGGACAATATGGGTTTTGTTATGACTACGGTAATCTTGTTGAGCCATTCCAAGGGGCCACACATAAATTAGAGAGGAAACACGGAGAGCACAGCGTCTAACTCACCTCTCTGCAGCCACTCCTCACTCCCCCATCTCACCCCCTTCCTCTGCCTCCCACTTTCAACCTCCGTTCAGACAGAAAAACACATCTAGTTTAACCAATTGTCACTGTTCTTTTTACACCCTTCAAGTGTTGTTTCAAAGACGCAGCCTTCCATAAAAGTCTCTGTGTGGAGTAGGAATTTACATAATCCGATTAGGGGCCGGGATTAGCCCCGGGCCTGGACAACAGGCCCGATGGGGGCCGTTTTCTGAATCGGGCATTCATGAGACCCCGCTGCACGTCCAAGAGGCTGCACCTGCAGGCCAGGCGCCGCTGCTCGCTGCCTCTGTCCAGCCTCCACTCCAGGTCTGCAGACTCACTTCTCTGTGTGGTGGTTTGATGGCGGAGTGTACCTGCTGTAAGTCATCATCATCTGGGAGCAGAATGAGGGCAAACTCGTAAATTAAATTCAACTGAATGAAGCAGCATCTTGTGTTTTTTCAGGGGGTTCTGCAGAGAAAATCTAAGCCAGAAGTCACTGCAGAATTCATATATAAACAAATGTTGTAAATGGTAAATGGCCTGTATTTGTATAGCGTCTCACTACTCCTTAAGGACCCCAAACACTGGATCTTTTTTTAGGAGTAGACCAAATTGCATTACTTCTTCCTACACTGTTACAACACAGCCAAAGTTCGGAGAAATTACAGTAAATTAAGTCTGAGCTGTTTGGATACTTACCATTTTTAACTTTGTATACTAGTATATATAACGTAATACGTCCTGCTGATGCCGTCGTTCAAACAGCTGACAAAAACCACATAATCAGGCGTTTTATTTTTGGAGTTTGTCCCTTGCAAGTTGATGCACTGAACCAAAAATGTTCCTTTTAATTTTACCCGAGCACCATCTCATTTCAACAGTTGGTATCATGTGAGGGGTTTTCATCAGAAGTGTAAAACAAAGCAAACTTTAAGCAGCCTTGTTGATTGGGGCTTAGTTTTGCTTAGCCTTAAAGACCTTTTTGTTAATCATCAGGAGGCATATAGTGGTAAACTTTATCATTTTTTATCAACTAAGGCAACACAGAAGGTTCACATTCAATCGGGCTCAGTCTACCTGGAAAGGTCCATTTTTGTGGGACAACACCCTGAAAACTGAAGACTGGAACCACATTTTGTACGGATGGACATTCATGTAGCATTTTGGTTATCCTCTACAGCACCATCACTAGTTTAAACAATTTAAATCGCTCAATACAAGCTAACATTCATACAATGTTAGCTTATACAATTATAATTTTAGCACAACTGTGACACCATGTGTGCAGTGGATTGCTAAGTCAATGATTCAAGGTTTGTCAAAGTGAGACTTGACTTGAATCATCAAGATAACAATTTAGTCATGTGTCAGGACTAAATTGTTATCTTGATGATCACTGACTGACCAGTTATTATTACATGAACTGTTTCCAGGAGGCACTTTAAAAAAAAAAGAAAAAAAAAAGAAAAAAGAAAAATCCTAATCTTAAATTCACTTTCTTTTCAAATGTATTTGCCTTAAAAATAATGTTATAAGAACCCTGTGCAAAAACTAGCACCAGCTTTTTAGATAGTTTTTTTTTTAAAAATCAGTGTAAGAACAGAAATTCCAGAATATAATGAAAAATGTAATAAATCTTATATATTAAAACTAGAACCAGGGAAAAACTACAAGATAAATTTGGATTATCAAATACCAACATATTACTTATACTTCAGAAAATTTTATTCTTACCATGCAAATTATTATTTGTTGATTTCTTTCATGGCGCTTGTGTCATTTTCCTTTTACTCAGCATTTTGAGGTGCTGCTTTTTGTGCCCAAAAGCCCCCCTTTATCTGTAATCACTATCCAACTATAAAGGTGCTTCTGCTGGGGCTCCATCTCTTCTTTAAAAGAGAAAACTCACAGGTGACTCTTAATTGCAGGCTGTGATTAAAGATAACAGTGTGACCTTTACAGCTGAAGCCAAAATAGGAGCCAGACTAAAGGATGCTTTGGTTTAAACAACCTGCTCCTTCCCACAATATCTCTCCTGTCCCATTCAGTGCAGGGCTCCAGTGTAGTCAGGGACCATTACTGCACCATTAGGCTACTGTTTGCCTCGCCTTCATAGGGGGACTCCTTTGACCACCCTGCTGACTGCTTTTGTTCCTGTGCCATTAAAAAAACAAACCATTTCTCTCTTTGTTTGTCCACTGCTTCTAAGCAAGCAGCAGCCAGGGAGACGGACACGTAGAGAGAGGGACACATTTAAAAAAAAGAAAGTGGTGGGTTATTGATGGTGGTAGTCAGTGCTTGATATGGCTGTCCAGAGGCAGGGAGGCTTGGAGTCGATGTCCCTGGGGTCGTCTTTGTCTGGGGATCATTCCTGAGGGAGCTGGCTTCACTCTGCTGGCTCGTGAAGATAAGCACTCTCTCCACATGCTGAGAGAGCACGATAAGGGGATTGCTTCACTAAATTATATATATAAAAAAAGAAGCCCCGCCATTGGAGCTGCTAAAAAGAGACTTTATCAGGTTAACTGGGAAACACCCTCCATCCCATTCCTCCAGCCATAAATCACAATTTGTTTTTCCTCAATTGAGCATGCTCAGTATGGGGAGGGGGCACAGCAAACATGTGCAGATAATTATAATTATGCTTAATCTTATTTTGTAAGAAGAACCTGCCAACACCTTCTCCTTGTTACTTAGCACTATTTAAACATATAATCATTTATAACACATTATAATGTAGTTGTAAGCAGATTTAAGGCGTTAATCAATTTAAAATGCTACCATGTTATTAGTACTATTCATTGTCTGCTTCTATACCAGCCTGGGAAACTTCAGGGACACTTACAAAAAAAATCATCAAACAAATTTTGAATTTTGATAAATTGCAAATAGATAATAGGATCAGCGTGCCCTGTAAAACAGCTTAAAATAGCTAATACTATAATATGAAAAAGTGCAAAGGAAATGTATACAATAAACAATATTTTAGATTGAAATAATACAAAAATCATATGATATTGCTTTGAACTTTAATAAAATTAACTGTTCCTCCTTTTTTAAACATTAACAGTATTTTTGGTGACAAAAAACGAATTCATAAAATCACAATTGCTTATAAACATTTAAAATGTAGAATTTTAGGTGAAAAAATAAAAATGTAATCTGAGAAGAAAAAAAAAACCCACTGCAAACTATGCCATGACTGAACTTTTAATGTTTTAATGCATTTTAATATTTTTTTATTCCTTCTCCGATTCTTTTCTAAAACAATTTAAGCCTCGTCTGTCCATCACCTCTGCCGGGCACCCTCTCATAGCTCAGCCTTCCCTTCTTCGATGGTGACAACACTGCAAATGTCAAAAAAACAACAACCAAAAAATAAAGTAAGAACAAATGGGCTATGTTAGCACCTAAACGTTTACCTGCGAAATAAGAAAAAGGAGACTATAATGTGCATTTCCAACCACAAACTCTGTTCAGGATCATTTTCTCGTGCAGCTCTGAACATGGGATCTATAAATTAGATCACCCAACACAACTCCTGTTATGCGCACTTATACTTGTTTGCTGGTTCTCGTGTGACTATTCAACTAAACTTTTAATTATAAGATGCAGATAAAGGACCTGGGAGGAAAATCGAGAGAGTTAAAATTGCTGAATGTTTTTTCTCAGAGACTTGGGGATGTCACAGCAGAACTCCACGCTGACAGTCTCACCGGGAGTAGCACGGCATCATGAACGTTGCCATAGTTCGTCATGATTTAGAGGGGTCTTGTTTTTCCTGTATATAGTGGACTTTTTTTTGTTGTTGCTTTAGTTGTATTTACATATTAAAAATTTTAAAAAGGGGGAAAAAAAGGTTAAAAAAAAGATTCTGAGCATGCTCCTAGTCTTGCTCCTCACCTGATGTGCTGTCTTCAGGCTTGGAAACTATTGACTCTTGAAGTAAAAGTGACTCAGCTCACATCACCAGCATAAAATTCAGGTTAGTATGCCAGACAATAAAAGTTGTTTGTTCTCTGTGCAAGTTTGAGGACCATGGTGTAGAATGCACAATGTACTTTATACTTTGTTGCATTTTCCTGTCATTGTAAATCTTGTGAATGGTCAACTATACAAACTACATCCGCTTTCAAAGTAAAAGCTCCACCTTTTTGAAACAACTTTTACTCTGAAGGCAAATGGTCTCCATTTGCGGCTTGTGTGGCATTTTTCAGTTTTACTGCTGCTCAGAGAGATTTTGATGAGTATTTACAGACATAGACATCTTCCACAAAAACTACAGGGAAACATGGCAACGTATGTATAGTATCAAAGGTTGTGTCAACAGCTAGTATTGTGCTAGAGACCTGAACAGCTTCTATTTCTATTTTTCACCTGATCCAATCAAGCCTGCAGCCTCTCTGTTCCTCTTCCTCTCCTGTCCTGCCCAGCATCTGGAGCCGTAGTTGGCTAAAAGTGATGTCATCCCTCCACCAACGTGATCATGACCCCACAGGATACCTGTAGGTGTGCTAAGACTGTAGGTGATGTGCTGAATGGGAGAATTAAAGTCCTTGTAGAGTGTAGGGTATGTGGACGTTTGGGGGCTGGCTGGCTGCTGCAGGTTGGTACTGTAACTGAAGGTAGAGTCCAGTTTGAGTGGGCTGTCAGCAGGGTGTGAAGAAGTGGTGTAATAGTTTAGCGGAGTCTTGTGTGTCCACTCATTGACTGATCTTTCAACAACCCTCCCCACTGCTCCAGCTATGCTCCTCCAGCCAGAGATCTTCCCATCCTCTCTCCATGGATCATTGATGTTCCAACTTCCCTGGAAACAAACATCTGAACTGCCAAAAGTATCACTCAGATCAAGTTTGAAATCTGAGTTGCCATCCTCGAATATTGGGTAGAAGCTCTCCTGTGGAGTCTCGAACAGGAAGCTAGTGTTCTGGTTGCTACAGAGAAGGTCTGGATGGGGGGACTTCATGCATTCATAATCCCCAGTGTGAGTCTGTGAGCTGCTTTGTTGGTTTGTCTCAGTGGTCAAAGTTTGACGGTCTTTTGGATCTGCTGCCAGTGGATACAGGGAGGTCGTGTCACTGAAGAGCTAAACTCGGAAGAGAAGGGGGGGAAAAAAAATCAAATTTAATTTCTTAACAACTTGGTTTATTTATGTATTTATTTTCTAAATATTTTTGGGGACCTTTTCAGCTTTATTTGATAGACACAGTGAAGAAAGGACAGGAAAGCGAGGGCAGAGAGAGGGGAAGACATACGGCAAAGGGCCGCGGGTCAGACTCAAACCCAGGCCGGCTGCTCTTAGCCGTATGGCATATGGTCACCTGCTAAACGCATTGAGCTAAACCGGCGCCCAGAACTCTGTTTATTTTTATTGTAATTTGTACTTTCCCTTCTGTCTAAAGTAATAAGCTTTTGTAAAACAAGTGTTCCAAATACAAACATATTTACAGCACACGATCACCTTTAGCACTTTATGTGGCACCTCAGGAAGCAGCTCCTTCAGCTGACACAATGAGGCCCCCAGGAGCCACTCAAAGGATGGCACTCTGCTCAGCATCAGCTGTCCAACCAGGGGGTTAATGCAAGGGAACTGTGACAAACATGCTTCTTCCTGAAGGAAGCAAATGGGAAAAAAAGAAATGCAATCAATGACAAAACATGTAATAGATTTTGATTCATAAAAAAATAAAAAAAATAAAATCACACAGCAGACATAAGACAGTTGTAAAAGGTGCATTTAGTTTTTGTCTCTTTGAAACTTCACAACCATTTATGGAATAATTTCTGTTTCAAACCTATGAGGTCCTGACTGGTCTCTCAGTATAAGTAGTTAATGAAAAAACATTCTGTTTACTGTGAATTTCTGTCTATGTAGATGGCATTTCCCCCTGATTTATCACTATTAATTATCACAGTTAATAATAAAAGATCTTGGTCTCCAACCACTGTTTTCTGCAATGTGACTACAGAAATACAAAAACAAATCTGCACAGAACCTGCATTTTCTAACTGTATGCTGTCCAGTTATCCCTCTTGATCACAACTGGACCAGCTTATAATTAACCATAGATAAAAATGTATCCACATGCTCTTAAGAATAGAGTCAAAACACTGCTTTAATT